AAATTTTCCCTCTCTAGGCGGGACAATCTCCCCCACATTCTTGGGGATATACTGTTACCTCACCCACCTGACACGTGTGACAAAGCTGTGGACTGTCCATCACCCACTTGCTGACATCCACACACCTGACACATGTCACAACTGAAGTTAACAGTTAGAAATGTACAAAGCCTTCGTGAAAAGGAGGTAGTTAGTTGATCTTAATCGAAAATACGATAAACCTCTATTTATTGCATACGGTAAGAAAAATAATTATTTTTATATCAGAGTACTGTATATAATTCACAATCAGACTTGAGTGATCCGATCCAGAAACGAAAACAAAATAAACAAAAATTTCCATCAGAAATTTTATCTTCTGGATTGCGAGCGATCTTTTGTAAATATTACAATATTTCACTGTATATATAAATATTTTATGAATATTACTTTCCTGGGGTTAGAATATAACAGGGAAAGTATGGTGATCGGTCAAATTTTGATCCCTCCTGGTCTTTTTTATTAGAGGAGAAGGCGGTATTATGGAACTCCAATTACATTTTAGTGAATTGTAAACAACGTATCATAATTACACCCACATTTTTTGTGCAAAAAGTACTTGTAACTATTAAACTAAATGTTCCTAATTGGATTTTTCGTTAGTGTAACTATAAGTATGGTTTATGAAGGCTTTTGTACAAAAAGTCAGAAAGTAGGCTTAGAGAAAATCGGGTGGTAATATGGAACCTTACTGTATATTTTCAAAAAATGCTTTAATGTAGCCAAAAACAAATAGTAAAGTACAAAAAAATGTTAAATGATTACAAAATCATTTAATCCAATGTATTTTAACGCAAAAATGAAAAGTCATAAGACGGCAACTACTTTAATGAGAAAAATAGTCTAATTTTTTTATTCTCAGCAACTACAACATTTGGTAAAATATAGACTAATAGTCTACAAAATTTAATTTTTGAAAAACGTTTTTAAAAACAAGAAAATTTAATATTTTAAAATTAGTCTATATGTAAATGCACCATCTTACCCCACCTATGAGGTTTATTTTTATAGACTATAGACTACAAGAAGGACAAATTAAAACGGTTATCTTCAATATTGGCACAAGAACAGTGTGTCCATTTATCACAACTGCTACATTTATTGTTATTTTTCAAATAAATAAACATAAAAGTTTGAACTTACTTGTAGACTATTTACTTTACCAGACGATACTGTCACTTCGCGCATGCTCNCCGGAGACTAAAGAAAACAATAATTTAGAAAAAAATGTTTAATAAAATCTTAGATAATACATATGTATAACAAATTAGGCCTATATTATTTTACAATTTTTCACATTTACTTGATTATTACGCCATAATTTTAACGAGTTAAACGCGTTAGTAACGAATCGTTCGAGAAGTCTAACGAAATAGGAATAACGATGACTTCATTCTCGCTTAACTCGTTCGACTTTACGAACATACCCAATGTTAACTTTACATTCCAAAGATAAAGTTTTTCTTTTCTTGTTTGATGCGGAAGAATTAGTTCTACTTCGTTTGGATGACATAGTAGAGTCTCTGAAGTCTCCGTAGATATAACAAACACAAAAATAAATAACACAAAATAAATTGTAGCTATGTGTGGATTCCGCGCGACACATTCGAACATGTAAGCTGAACAATAGTGTGGGGGGAGTGAGTAATCAAGGGTTGCGTGGCGCTCAAACAAAAGACGAATCGACGAGATTTAAAAATCGCGTAACTCCGGGTTCGCGTAAGTCGGGCTATTACTATAGTCTATATGTAAATGCACCATCTTACCCCACCTATGAGGTAAGATGGGGGTTTTATTTTTATAGACTATAGACTACAAGAAGGACAAATTAAAATGGTTAAACTATCGCTTTCTTCAATATTGGCACAAGAACAGTGTGCCCATTTATCACAACTGCTACATTTATTGTTATTTTTCAAATAAATAAACAAAAGTTTGAACTTACTTGTAGACTACTTACTTTACCAGACGATACTGTCACTTCGCGCATGCTCAGTTTCGCTATTTTGTTAGCAGACGATATATTTTTTTTTTTCATGAAAAAAAATGTTTATTTCGATTATTTCGATGTTTATTTCGATTGTTATCTTACATTTTATTTCTTGTTAAGATAGTATTTAAATTTAAAAAATGTATTCATAAATAAAATGAAACGTAAAAACATTATGGTTTGAATTTGTTGATAATACTGAACACCAAGGGAGTTGGGTTCCATATTAAAAGCACCAATGGGGTCCATATTTCACGCAAGTGCCCACCGGTGGCCGAGTGGACTCCGTCTCCGCTTGATAGTGGTGACCAGACCCTAAACACCGGAGTTCGATCGAGGGTTAGCGCCTCACTCGGACGAGCTGGCAGCAGGAGTTTTTCCGGGTTTTCCTCCTTGCCAATGACGCCTGAATAAGGGCCAGCTTCCCCTCCAAGTCCTCTCGGAAGGCATTCTGTCTCCCTTTCTCGCGGAGGTCGTCTCCTATAAGGCCAGATTTGGTTGCATAGTGACCTCTCTTCTCTCCTATCTTCCTCGGATTGGTCGTCTTCGATAAGATCACCTCTTCGGTCGCTGTGCGACCAACTACCCTGTTCCTTCCGGAGTGATAAGCGAAGAGCAATAACACTCCACTATCGTCGATGAGATGAGATGAGAATATTTCACGAATCTCCATCTTGGGTTAATTCCTGTCGGCACCAAACTTTAAAAACGTGAAAATCACACAGATTAATATGTATTCCCAAGTCTCTGGAACGGAATACGTGCACCAGTGAACCTACAACCAATGTTCCCTCTAATTTTTTTGTCGATGAGCGCAGCATATACAGTAGACCCCCTATAACGCTTAGATACATTCCACGTTAATCGAATTTTACGTTGTAGGAATCATTATTAAATACATGAGCCAATCGCAGCCCGACACGTGTGAAGTTTACGGACTAAGGCTGTTTGAAAGGTTTTCTTCTATAAAATTAACCGATTCTAGACTAATTCCACTCAACATTTCCAAAACACGTATAATTTTTTTGGGAATAATCCGTATAAACTATGCTATAAACAAAAAATTGTAGGATTACTTACCGAGTGTGCACCGTTCGACTACGCCATTGCTCAAGCTTGTTTTCGTCGCGGAACAGCGCACGAAACGGCGGCCGCGATATCTGATAACGAATTTTTCGCAGAAAAATAACTTGACCTTTGGAGACATCATTAATATAAATAATTTTTATGGCCG